GACAGACATAAGGATGCGCTCGTTGATCAAACAGTCCATTGGCTGGTTTGAACAGGTCCGATGACAGTAGAACTGTTCACAGGTGTCGCGCACAGACAGTAGCCTAATGATAACCCCTTTCGCGCTCTTCCCAATATTGTGACAAACACCATATTTAAAAGATAGAATTTGAAGGAAACTGTAAGATATGCGCATTTTATTTTCAAAATGTTTTATTGCAATTATAAACGCAATTATAGCCCGTATCTCATATTTTCCTAACGTGTTGTAGGCTACCCTTAACTGCGTTAAACATGATGTCACGTGGATGGAAATATGCATGGAAATGATATGCAGATGACGTTATGCATATTAAAACTAGGCGTTGTAAGCTCCATATATGGCTATTTCGGGTAGGAGACGGGGTGGAGATTCATGTACACATAATCTTCGACTGGGTATTACAAAGGGAATTTTGCGCAGGTTCTGGCGTACGCATGGCTTTATAAATCTGAAAACTTTTCTACGTACGCAAAATCTAGCTTTTGTGCGTATGTACACATTTAGGATGAAATCTACTTAAGTTTTATACATGAGGCCCCAGATGTTTCCCAGATCTTTAGCAGACGTCTTACAGATGTACTTGTGCTGTCTGGGTAGTTTTTAAGAGTTTTTTTTTTTCTTTTCTTTTAATAAAAAAACAAAAAAAACACTAGCTTTCTATTTTTTGCTATTCTATCTACTTGTTTTTCTTTATGTGTGTGTGTGTATGTGTGTGTGTATATGTGTGTGTATTATATATAGTTCGGCGTTTCTTATTTATTTGGTTCCACAGTGTTTGCTGATTTCTTTATTTAAACTTTGTGTATTTTATTTATTTTATTTTACATCAAGGTGTATATGCTGTGCCTCCAAGCTTTCTTATTCGTTTTGCTAATTCGTTTGCCGCTAATTTGAAAGTGAAAGTAAAATGCGCACGGCACTTTTACAAGCCTTTTGAAAGCGAAGAAAAGAGGGAAACTCAAACGACCTAACAACCCCCCACCCCAACGGTGATACCAGTATTACCGGTGTTGTCACACGTCGATTAACAGGTGGGAAAATTTCCTCGCCGTCACAACCCTACTTTGAAGTGTGGGGAAAAGTTGTGTGAAGCATTTAAAAACACTCAAACATTAGACCATTTCTGCCACAAGTTGTTCCTGTAGTTTTTCTATGTTAAATCCATGGTGAATGGTGGTGATTTGTGTTTATTGAACAATGTTTTTTCCTGGTTTCCACATCAGTGACGTTTGTTCTGATATCTGTAGCTTTAACAGAATTCTGCGCCGAATTTGAATGCTTCTCACAAGATTTCACAGAGATGTTATTGATTCTGCGGTGAATTCGACTACTTTCTTCCCTGTATCTCCCAGCGCTATGTATAACAGTGTTGCGTGGTCGAGATCAGCCCGCGGCTACGGCGGCCGGTGTTCTGACGATTTGTGCTACCCGCTCAGATTGTGCTACCTCCCATTAAAAAGATAGGTAGCACAAATGCTACCTATCAGATTGTGCTACCAGTATCTTATTCATGTGTTTTGAGGCTTTTTTTAATGTCCATACCTACCCCCTACCCTAAACCTACCCGTCCACACCTGCATGTTTCGTCGGTACACCGGCCTACATAGCCCAAACGAGTAGCTCGGGTTCATTCCGCTTTCGGTTCGTTTGTCCAATGTAGCTCTTGTAAATCATTCATGATGAGAACGCAAGGCTGTTCATTCCATTTTTGGAACTGAGAAACAATCTTTCTTTGACTGAATGAGCGTTGCGATGACGTCACGGGATGCGTCTAAGCCCAAAATCTGCGGCAATTACGAAAATTTGCGAGCTCTTGCGAAAATTGCAGTTTGCTTGATTTTGCGATAAATTCAGCGATCGCAGAATCGCAAAACCCTGGAGGGACTGATAGATGATACTCAGTCTAGTACTGATGCAGTGAGTGGGCAAACAGCCCTATGGCACACTTCATACACTGTCTGCGTGTATTGTGCCTTACACAATAAGCCTTTGTCCCACCCTAGAAAACACAACAAATGCAGGTTATAAAAAGCTTTCTCATTGGCATTGACGCTTCCTCCACTGGGAACAGATCACATCTGTTTAATTTGTTCTGGAGTCGTTTGTTTTATGACTCCAGGACAGTTATGCACATATGTTTGTTATTTTATTGCTATTAACTATGAAGGGGCAGAAGTTATTGATCATGTTTAAATGTAGGTCAGGAAATGATGACATTAATTTGTGTATGTAGATGTTTTAAAACAAAGCAAATTGGTTGAATATAGTAAACCGATAAGCTCCAGCAGATCTGATGAAGTCTGTAAGTGTGGAGTGGTGCTGACGTTGGGCTGTGATTGTGTTCTGAGCCGGTGTCAGCTGCTGTGAGTGGGCCAAGACAAAGAGCATTGTTATTTGACCAGGAGTCTGCATAATTAAAGAATGAGGAAGACTTTAATTTTGGAAGGATTATGATCATGATGATCATTTTCTTGTACCTGTTCAGTATAGAACAAGACATTAAATGAGACATTAAATAAGGGCACATTAAATTGATCATAAGTGACAGTAAAGAGTTACTTTTACACAAAAAAAAGTAATAAGTAAATTAGTTTTTGAACTTTTTTATTTATCATAGAATTCAAAAAAAAAAAAAAAATAAACAGTTAAGCAGCAAATCAGCATATTAGAAATATTTCTTATGTATCATGTGGCACTGAAAAATAAAAAAATACATGCTGCTGAAAAGTCAGCTTTGCCATCTTAGGAATATTTTGTACATAATGTCTATTTTGTAAAAAGAAAGAAAGAATGAATATCTGCTACAATTGGATGCAAAATAAATGTTTTTTTTTTTCTTTAAATTTTAGGGTGAAATATGACCCATATATGTGACCCTGGACCACAAAACCAGTTTTAAGTCGCTTGGGTATATTTTTAGCAATAGCCAAAAAAACATTGTATGGGTCAAAATTATCTATTTTTCTTTTATGCCAAAAATCGTTAGTGTTACGGGGCTGACGAGACATGAGACTTGCGGATCCAAGTGCGAAGCTTTATTAACAGACATGGTTAGAGACGGGCAAGGGTCAGACAATGGCAACAGGTATATATAGAGGGCAAGACACAAGAATAATCCTAGGGCTAGCGTGGGTCAACGATCGGCTAACAGAATCAACAGGGCGAGACTAGAGGGATAAATCCAGATACACAGGCAAAGATCAGAAACTGAGAAAACAGACAAGGCAAGACTAGGCTAGGCTAAAACTAAGAAACTAAAGCAGGCTCCGTAACGTAGATCGGAGTGAGTGTTATATAGTGAATGTGTGATTGGTTACAGCTGTGTGCAATCAGTGCTGTGTGCAATCAGTGCAATGGATGATGGGATATGTAGTCCGGGATGACATGCAACAGTTTGTGTAGTGCGAGAGTCAATGTAATGGAAGGCAGGGCTCGACGCTTACTTTTCTTGTGACTTTCTTTACTTTTCTTAAAAAATTTAGGAGCACGTTCAAAATTTTAGGAGCACCTTCTAATCAATAATCCAAAATGTTATCAAAAAGTAGCCTTCCCATTACGAGGTGATATTTGACTCCTCTAACTTTATTAAAAGTATGTCATCTTTTGTCAAATTCTTAAAAAAATTATATTTTATAAGCTTTTCAAAATTTTTTTATGAAAACGACAGAATAAGAACAAGTAGAATAAGGAAGATATTTTGTAAATTTCCTAACGTAAATATATCAAAACTAAATTTTTGATTAGTAATATGCATTGCTAAGAACTTCATTTGACCCTTATGACTGGTTTTGTAGTCCAGGCTCACATATTTATATCAAGATGTGCTGTTTACTATGATTGTGTCTAGTGTCTTCTCGAATTCATTGTGTTTTTTTTTTTTTCAGCTTGCATTTGGCCCCTGTGTCTTCTCAGACGGCCGAGGAAGCCCAGACAGCACCTGCTGACCCTGCCAGCCCAAACCTCAGCAAGTCTTTCACATTAGGTAATGCAGCAGACATGAGAGTCAGCACGTCATGCCCAACTGCTACACTTCATGTGCCCTCAAAGGGCCTGTGGATTTTATGCTTATGCTATGTGCATGTGTGGTCGCCAAGCACGTACACATGTGTGAGCCTGTGTACTCATGTTCAGTTTGCCTTGCTGTACAAGTGATATGTATGTTCAGTATTAAATCACACGCACACATCCGTACACTCAGGGATTAGATTGCTGCTGGTTAATACCTCCATTGCATATTATCAGAGGGGAATATATGACCGAGGAGTGAGCTTATGTAACTGTGAATCAACTGGAACACTTGTGTACTGTACATCATGTTAAAACCTAATCTGTCAAAAAGGGCTTCATTCAGAACAGTAGAAGAAATTTTAGAAGAAAAAACAAACAAACAAAAAAAAGCATGCCTTTGATCTTCCTGTTTTACAGCTTTTACCAGTTTTAACAAATAGACAAAAAATATACAAAATAATGCAAAAAAATAATAAAAAATACATGCCTATTAAATAGCCTGCTATACAGATGAATTGGGTCTTGATTTATTATTCCAGATTTTACATAGCTTAGCTTGCTTTCTTTGTTTTAGGAGCTAGTTATTTTCATGATGCCTTTTTCAGACCTTTTTTTTGTGATGTTTTTGTATCATAGATAACGTCATACAGTTTAGACCAAAGTCTGCACTGGACATTGACGCCAGAGAGGCGATTTTCCTCCTCAGGTACCTCAACTCACTCTCCTGTATCTTAATTTATATATATATATTTGATCTCACACTCATTTCAGCACTTTAATACATGTGGATATGGATTCTTTGGACATGTGTTCTTCGGACATGTTTGAGAAGATTCAAATATAGTAAAATCAGAAGAACTAATTTTAGTTTTTTTTCCCCCTTAAAAAAATGTACACTGCCAGTCAAACATTTGGACACCTACTCTCCCTCTCTCTCTTTTTTTTAATAATAATTATTGATTTCTACACTTTATAGTAATAGTAAAATCTGCAGTATGGGAATTATGCAGTGTCCAAAAATGTTAAACAAATAAAAATACTTTATAAAAAAAAAAAGATGAATACATTTATTTATCTATTTAAAAAAGAGAAATATTTATTTGTATGCTGGACAATTGTTGGCTGTTTTTCCACCACTATCTGTTCCAACTCGCCCATTAAAATGTTTAAATAAACGTACATTTTAATTTTGTAAAGAAATGTTTATGTAGGCGCAATTTACATTTGTCTGCAAAACTACCTCCAAGCATTTAGATGAAAGTTTTAAAATCACCAGAAACAAATTCAGTTAGCTGTGTAGACTTTTGGTCATGTGATGTGTCATGAGGGGTGTTCAATGCTAGTATGAGGATATTCCAGTGTATTTCAGTAGTTTTTGTATCTCTGATCAAACAGCTCAAGACCAACTCCCAGAACAAGCAACACGGCTCGACAGACAGAAGACAAAGGCTCTGAAATTCAAGTGAGTTCAAAAAACAAAAACATACAGTCATCCCAAAAATGTATTTGGACCCTTAAGCCTCACTTAAAACGGTATAATTTTCATTCCATTATAACAAAGTATCAAACCAAGTGGCATCTGAATAACAATGATTCTAGCTTTACTCAAAACTAACTTTACTATTCTAAGACAAACTTGCAATGACTTTTAACAAAATAGTCCCATAGTTATAGTAACCACAGGCGTATTTTATCACATCAACAACCAGAAAGTGCCCAAATACTTATTTAAATCCTACGGAGCCCGGGAAGTCACCTGTAGGAGAAAAAAAAAACAAGGGGACGGATTGCAAAACCGTCGCCACGGATTGTTTTTTTTTCTCCTACAGGTGACTTCCCGGGCTCCGTAAAATCCTAACAAACTCATTTTTGTGAAATGTTTTTGTGACCTCTCTACATGACTGACTGCGATAATGCAATACTGCAAACTACAAGCGTGTCCAAAAAGCCCAATCAAAACCAACAAAATGTCATAGTAGAAAGCTCTGGGCCATTAATTCTTTATGCTTTTTCAACAGTTAATCATCAGGCTTTCTAGTGGATGTGGTTGCAAATGTCTTTTGTTAAACCACAGCACCATCTACTGGACATATTCAACATTACAATTTGCCACTACCTCACTGACAGGGTGCCTACACAGTGTTCACTGCTCTGTATTCTCTGAGCATGAGATATCTGTTGAAGTTCACTTCACCTGACAAAATGCGTTCATTTGGAACATCCTGCAATGTCATCACAGACATTTTTAATGTGAAAACAAATGTAATTTGGTTATATAAGATGTGTTTGTTTGTTTTCATATTAAACATCACAACAGGCATTTTTCACATTTATCACTTCATTTATGAAAATAAATGTCATTTGGTTATATTAGATGTGTAGGTATATTATCACTTATCACATTACAAAAGTTTATTTTCATGTTTAACGCAACAGATTTAGTTTAGTTTAGCGCTTTTAAATAAGACCATTCAAATTAATAATTTCAATATGGATATAAATGCCCTTGGATGTATTATACTGTATACACAAATAATAGCTTTAACCATAATTAAATGCACCTGATCCATTTAATCTAAAGGGTTTGAGGATTACTAGGAAGTCCAGTAGACCAGGCAGATGTACTGGAGCAGGCTGGAGCTAATTTCTGCATGAAGGTGTCCCTCCAGGATCAGGACTGGATAAACTTGCTCTGAAATGACTGCTCACAGTGGTACAGATTTTGCTGAAGTTATGACACCAGTGTTAAATGGATGAAAGGAGTATTTTGTTTGTATGCTCCATAGGAATCCAGTGTTATGGTGGAGGAGCAGAGTGACATGAACGGCAGCATTAAATCCCTTTTATACACAGACAGTGACCTTACAGTGACTCCCATCATGGATAACCCAAAGGTAAAGAGACCTTCAGGATGCAAACACATTGCCACATTGCCATGTCTGAGGGACTTATTGTCTAAACTTCATGTCCATATTCTAGAGTAAACATGACAATGTGCTAACCAACACTGATGTTAGTTTGCTGCTCTGTTTTTAGATTTTAAAGACTTCTCCAGTTCGTTTTGACCCCAAAACGCTTTGCGTATCAGCACACTCAGGTAAATTGGAAGATCTAGCGTTTTTTGATCACCTAGAATGAAAATAATTTTTTTCATGAATCGTACTGGTTTTTAAGATAAGCTTATTAACTCATTAACCATTGTGACTGGATTATTATCCCAGAAGGAGCATTATCTTTTTGATTTAAAACTTAAATTTAGGTCTGTTTCTCATACAAAGCTATAAAGCCTACTGTATCATATTTCTAAAGCGTCTAAATTATCAACATGATCAAAACCTTGCTTTGATCATAAAACAAAGCTTTTAAATATCATCTTACTAAGACATATTATTGGGTATATCATGGTAAAGAGTGCTAACATATATTTATATGCATTTTATCTAAGTAAGTCTGCTATACTGTTGTGAAGATCTCATTCATTTTCATTGCAATCAGAATTTCACTTTAATTTTTGGCCATATAAATTTTAGTAACTAGACCAAATTGCATATTTTGGCCTCTTAATATAATTGGAGTGTTTTTCCCTCCTTTCCTTCCATATTTTTCTGCATCATACTATATTAGCCATAAAAGCCTGATGTACTAAATATGATGCTTAACAAAAAGACACAAATGCATTTTAGATTTAGTTCAAAAGGCAATATAGTATGTTTTTGCATAGAAATGTAAAGGATTTGGGAAAATTGTCATATATGCTTGCTTTACATTTGGTTGGGTTAAAAAAAAAAAGAACAAATGTTACTCTCTTTGTCTCTCTCTTAGCTGAACGGTTGTCCTGTCTGAACTCGGAGGACTGGTCTCAGTTCCTGCAACAGGTGTGTGCTGTTCTGGAGTCAGTAGACCAGGCTGGATCAGCCAATGCCACAGCACCACGCACTAAACTCAACCTGCTCTGTTACCTCTGCACTGTCTGTAACCACAGAGAGACGGCCACACGCCTTATACACTCCCAGCTGGTAAGACACATGTGAAACACAAGCTATTAATGTACAGTCATATGGTCATTATCACAAAAGGACGACCAGGTATCATGTATGCAGTCAAACCAAAATTTATTCAGACACCTTCAGCATTTCTCACATTATCACAGTTTATTCGCTGTAGTTTAGAAAATGGCAATAAAATATGACAAGAACTCAGAGTTAAACTGTGTCAGAACAAATTCATCTTGATAATGCCATCCTTCTGTTAGACTGTCTCACAAATGAATTAGGTTGAATAGCTGTCAGCTGTTAAAAGTACACAATTAGATAATACCAATTTAGGTCAACCAATTACCAAGCAATGCTTAATTTTGTTCAGTATGTGGTGTAAAAAGGTCACATTAGCAATTAAAGAAAAAAACACTTAAGCAAAACATGGTCAGGTCAAAGTGTCTGAATATTTTTACTGGTAGTCCACTGTATGAAGATTTGTTAGGTATAATATGTCACAGTTTACTTTATTTTGCTATCCTCGCTTACGTAAATGAACTATAGTGTCCTGCACCCACTAGTGTAAAAAAATATACATATCAAAAATTGTATCTGGTGTCTGAATAATTTTTGGTTTGACTTGTGTCACACTGAAGGGGTTTACTTTGTGACAATGATCAGCTGACTAATGGTGCTGCTAATTACTGAATATATAATAAATATAAAGACTTACAATAACGATTTGAATTGAATTGAATTGAATTATCTTACCAGTAGATTCAGCCTAGCAACAATACAATCACTGGAACAATACTGTATATATACAGTATTAACTGTAGTTTTGATTACTTGTTTAGACTTATTTTTTTCTCATCTATTTTAGCTTACATCTTTTGCTATGATGTAACATTCGAATGTTCTTCTGTGTAATGATGTTTCACCTCTACATTAATTCCAATTTCCAAACATGAATTCATCTTCGAAACACAAATGACAATATTTTTAATGAAACCTTAGAGATTTCTTCCCCCTTCATCCCATTAAATCTGTTTATCATATACAGTGATTGTGTTTCTTCAAAAGACTTTGATTAAATGTGATTCATTTGAATCTTTCTGAACTTTTGGTCATTTTGGTGGCATGGACATTCAATGGAAAGACATAAATCTTCATTTGCACCCTCATCATGTGTATATTTTAAATAAGCTTCATGTATAAAAATGTATTTTGTAATAAAAATAGACTAAGGGGACTTTTTAATCTGCAACCATTCCATGCAGTGCAAATCTCACATTTCTTTTGCAATATTATAGAGCGGTTGAAAGTGTACAGTAGGTCATCTAATGAGGGAAGTTGAACAATAGTGTGTCCACTGAGGAATGAGTGCCTGCTTCCGTCCTCGCCTCTGTCTGAAAACGAGCTTCCTCTTCCTTGGCTTTCGTGAATGGAAACTGTAATCAGTGGGACTCGTGTGGAGTTTCAATGGCACCTAAAGGTTCTGTTTTTATACTGAAACTCTAAGCCAATGTTAATTCAGATAAGTCAAATTTCTCTTTTGGATTTGAAGTATAATTTGAATATAATTGTATAATTTAAGTACCATTTTTTGCAACAGTAGTTTGTACACCAGTACATTCCTCCTCTGGCCACCAGATGTCTCAGCACTAGTAGCATTTCCATTTATCTCTGTGGCAGTTGCTCAGTTTGGGCATTCCAGATATAGTTTTTTTTTTCTGGAGCCAGTCACCTGAGCCGTAAATGCCATGTGACCAATTATTTTGGAGTCAGAAAATAATTTCTTGATGTGATGACAACAGTGATTGAATAACGCCACACAAGCACTCACCCAGCTCTTTACTAGGGATTGTCCTGACCTGTGACATATATGAAATCGTGTTGTTAAGAGTCCAAAAAGAGGCTGATTTAATGAAATATGAATATATATTGAAAATCTTACAATGTGAAACATTTTTTTTCTCCCTCTCTTTTTAACATAGTTCCCTGTGCTGGTTCAACAGATGCGACATGCTCCGAACTGGGATATGTAAGTGTTACAATTCTTCTTCGTGCTGGGCTGTATACCGGTTCATACCGAATACCGGTGTTTATTTTTGTTATGATATGAATTTTTTAAATACCGCAATACCGGTGTATGTCGCTTAAACAACGTTCGGAACGCGACACTGTTTGAAAGGGGTCCCTTTTCACTGTTGCACTGTCGTGAGGGAACAGCTGTATGTGTTACTAAGCGTGAAAGTTCCGAAACTGAAGCTGTAGAACTAATAGAACGTGATGACACAGAAGAACTCATCCACAATATCCACATTGACCGCCACAAATATCCACCGCCCCCTGCCATCAGCTCCCGCGTCTCACACACACGAGTGCGACTTTAGCACTAGATTTAGCAACTTTCAGACCCTTTTAGCGGCTTTTTTCCATAGAATATTCATACTGACAAACCTAGCGACTTTTTTGGATAAACCTTAGCTATGGTTCAGTTGGAAGATTTTCCCAGTGCTGTCCTGCGAACGCGAGGTCTGACTTTCCAGGAGAAGTGTCATCTCTCTCGGCGTCTGTTCTGTGCAGTGAGCGTCAGAGAAGCAGCACATTCAGTTGGCCGCACCGCAGCCGACTCGTCAATAAATGAGTACAAAACAGCGTTTCTAAATATGAGCGTAGTTCGTCTGTTAATATCACATGCACTTTTTTGTTTGTTGTTGTTTTTAGTTTGTTACTCAGACGCAGGCAGTGCGCTGCATGAGACAAAAAAGTAATATAGCCAAAACAACCACATAAAAATAGGGCATTCTAAGTCAATATACTGCAGTATTTCCTCTCTCAATCATTAGAAAATATGGTTAACACCCGGTCATGCATGAAAAAAAAAAATACCGTCATGTACCGTGAAACCGGTATAATTTTGAAAAATAGCGTGATATCAATTTTTGGTCATACCGCCCAGCACTAATTCTTCTGTATAATTATTTTATTGTTTGATAGTGATTTTTGTTTTTTTGTTTTTTTTTGTTTAGCTGTCCAATTGTATAATGTACCATTATAGTAAAAATTCGCTTCACACTTTTACTGGATCAGAACTATAGTGTAGTATTCTCGGATGACACAAATGGCGCCGGTCTTGGAATGTCTGCTCAGAGAAATGCAGTGCCTGTCTCTCTCCTCTCAGTCCCTTTGGCTCTGAGTGGAAGGAATGATAGGCATGTGTCTCACTGGCCCCTCACAGGCTTACAGCCTCTATCTCCGCATTACAGTCACCAAGCAACGGACAGAACAATTTTAGTTTTAAATGACACTGAAAACCAGCATTAAACACTGCTCATTTAAGACTGAGATGTGGTGTGGTTAAGACAGTATTGCAAAAAATAGTAAAATAAAGCAGAATGCCACAGGAGGTGTTACAGTGAATTTACCACAGGGTGTGTGTTGCAGCGGTGGTATAATTATATACAGTACTGTTTAAAAGTGTGGTTTCAGTATGTTTTTCAAATTTTTTTTTTTTTATAAGAAGTTTGTCATTGTTATCAGAAGTTTGAAATGTCATTATCTTTAAATAATGTCAGATTTTAACAAAACAGAATAGCTTTAATAAAACGAACAGCTGCATGAGAGCCATTTAATTGTTCAAATTTGTGTTTTAGAAGGAGCAAAGTGATGCGAGTGATTGGACTGATGGCCTCCCACTGCACAGAGCTCAGAGACGACGTTCCTGTCACAGAGGTGAGACTTGTGTGTTTAAAGATGGACATTTTAACATTAAAACAAACATTTTTGAAAATAAAGAGACACACCAGCAGGTGTCACTGTAGCATTTCTGTATTTGCTTATTCTCAGCTTCCACTCAGAAATGAAAATACTAAACAAAAATAATTTATCTGCTCTCCAAAGCACTTGAAATCCAGTAAAAGCCAGGTGAAATTAGCTTTTTACATCTCTATCTCAGCCTTTACACATACAAAGGCAAATATCTCATCCAAACAGGGTTATAAAAGCTTTCACTGTCATCAAAGCGCTGCACAGATGCATTGTGGTTAATCATAAACAAATTCTTCCACCCCAATCCTTGATTTAACATGTTTGTCTTCCATTCCGCTATGAACTTCCCTACCTCTTTGTCAGTTTCGCAGTACCACCCAGACTCCGTGTGGACAGTGGCACAAAATGGCCGTCCGTCGTAATTTAGCAAGGCCGAGTTTTTGGGGCATTTCACACAATACAGGCTTAAACTTTGCAGCTTCTCTCAACGGGTTCTTCTTTCTCGCACTTCTGGGCTCAATGGGTCGGTATTGAAGAAGTGCTCAGGGTGATGGACTCTCTCCCCGGTGCTCTACGGGGGTTCTGTGTCTGAGCGGCCGATCCTGTCATGGCGATTTCTTTCAGTGCTTCTCTTTGGCGAGAGAAAAGCAGAGCTGCTTTCTTACGGTTCTTCTGCACTCTAGAGGCCCTTCCTAGATAATATATTGAGCTAAAGGCTGGAATACACTACACGACTTTAAAAATCTTAACAGATTTTAAAACAATAGGCGTCATACACCAATATTGTAAATGGGTACAAAACTGGGCTCATACTCTAAATGACTAAGAATTACATACTACAGATTTGCAGGTTGTTTTGAACATAAACTTACACCTCGTTGCTAGGGGACACATGACATATGAAAAGAGTATCTGTTCTAAAATCGGCCCAAAATATCAAAGGCTGCTGTTACACTATAGCAAAAAAAAAAAACACCAACTCAGATTTGCACACATAAAAATCTCTAAATGTCTAAATCAGATAGATACCCATCTCATATCTGGACATCTGATATGATGGCGACATTTACACACAAAGATAACTTTTCTTGTTTTTTCATCTTATTTTGTCGTATTATGTATTTTCCTTTTATTTAGGTGAAAACTTTATATAGATTTATTACACGTCTCTCTAGAATGCTTGATTGATTCTAATTGTCATGACTGGCCTTTCTGAGATGTCTTACTCCCTGATAACCAGTGTTGCCAAGTCCGTGGTTTTCCTGTGGAATTGGGCTACTTTAACACTGTTGCCACGGGTTGTTTTTCATGTCCGCGGGTTGAAGCGACCCCAATAACATCATATTTAGCCCCTGCAATGCGAATTTTACCAGGGGAACCTCGCCAAAAAACATGTATTTTACCCCCCGAATGTTACTGGGGGACCCCCCCTCGAAACGCCATTGGGCTAGTTTTGAGTAGTAATTGGGTGGGTTTTGTTGTAAAAACCTGGCAACCCTGCTGATAACAACTGTCGTCAGTAGCAATGCTGAATAACATACCGCTCATCCGGGTATCTTAAGTCGCCAGTTCTTTCATGTCTCTTGTATCACATCACAGACTCGCTCTCTCATTTCATACAAACACAGCTGCTGCCATCTTGTGTCCTGTTATAGTTTTAACTATACTATTAATTTCAGTAACTTCAGTATTAATAGTACTGTAATATTGTTGCTGTGTTCATCTTATTGCCAGGACAATTGTTTTGAACACTGTAATGGATTATAAGATAATAAACAGGTGAGATTGTAAAAGAGTTTAATCTCAAATCATTATCTTATGTCCTTATAATTATTTATGTACTGAAAAGTTGAGTAATAAGTAGTATGTGTATGTGGTACTGTATCCCTTAAATGTTTGTCTAGTGTTTGTTCATTCGTCTTAGCTAAAAGACACTTGCTAGGAACCGTTTTTCTTCCCGTAAGCTTTTTGTTTTAGGAGCTAATGAAATATTTCAACTCCAATCAATATTTTGTGTCCAATTATTTACTTATGCAGGAAATAGCCTTGTACTGTAATAAGTGGGATAATGTACATTTAGCAAAATGAACCCTTTCAGGTTGATACAACCCTGATCACCGCTTCAGGGTGATCCCTCTGTCAGGGTTTATTCTGCGATAACAAATGGCTGAATATACATTATTCCTTATGTAAGAGGTTGCACACAGAAACAATCAGGAGCACAGAAACTTGTTTTGAGACGCTGCTCTCTGCAAATTTTATTTTTTACAATTTTAAAATGGCTTCTCTATTGAAAAAAACCCCAAAACAAACATTTTTGGTGACATGGTGTTTATGTCGCTGTTTTTGAAATATAATTCAAATAAATGTAATTTTACTGCTCTACTCAGAATTCTCAATCTAATGACCTGTAGGTAAAGTAACTTTTTAGTTTTTTTTTATCCTTTCAGTCAAATTTTTTTGCTGCAAACTTACAGTAAACGATGGTTTTAAATAGTCCATGCTGATAACAGATCATTGTATAATTGGCATAATCACATCTGGTGTGCATTAAAGTCAAAGAACCACCCGATGTAAATTATATAAAATTTCAAAACTCGAGGGTCTCCCATGTTGTTGAAAGCTGTCACCAATGGAATCATTCTAACTTGGGCAGAAATGAAAGTAAATGCGGATACTGTATACAGGCCGTGTCTTAAAGGGTTAGTTCACCCAAAAATGTAAATTAGCCCATAAATTACTCACCATCAACTCATCCTAGATGTATATGACTTTCTTCTTTCAGACTAATCCAGTTGGAGTTATATTAAAAATTGTCTTTGATCTTTCAAGCTGTTTCATGGCACTCAGCGGGTGTTGCATGCATCAGTCCAAAAGCACTTAATTAAAATCCGCCCATCCATAAAAAACGTGTCTCACATGGCTCCGGGGGGTGAACAAAGGCCTTCTGTAGCGAATCAATGCGTTTTTGTAAGAAAAATATCCGTATTCAAAACGTAATAATCATTTTAATCTAGCTTGCGCTCACGGTTGTACATGGAAGCAGTTCCGGGCGGATGACGTATGGAGGTCGGCTTTGCGCATGCGCCGCTCAGAAGTGACGCACGCGGAAGCGCAGGGGAGAGATCAAAACAAAACAACGGTCAAGAATTAGAAGTACAAAACGAGGATTTGTAAAGAAGAATGTCGGAGGATTTCGATATAAGCCAAGAAGAGACTGGTTTTCCTTTGCTAAAGTAAGGAAACTTTGCTTCCTTTGCTCCTGTAAACAAACGTTGGTTTTCACGAGACTCACAGGCGCATGCGCAGCACTGACCTCATACGTCATCCACCCGGAACTGCTTCCAGTGTACAACTGTGAGCGCAAGCTAGATTAAAGTGATTATTACATTTTGAATATGGAATGAATATTATATGAATAATGAATATTCTTACAAAAACTCATCGATTCGCTACAGAAAACCTTTGTTCACACCTCGGAACCGTGTGAGACACTTTTTTTTATGGATGGGCGCATTTTATTTAACTGGTTTTGTACTGATGCATGCAACACCCGCTGAGTGCCATGAAACAGCTTGTAAGATCAAAGACAATTTTTAACATAACTCTGACTGGATTTGTCTGAAAGAAGAAAGTCATATACACCTAGGATGACTTGAGGGTGAGTAATTTATGGGCTAATTTTCATTTTTGGGTGAACTAACCCTTTAAGTGAATGTAAGCAGGTGAGACAAAAATCAGATATGTCAAAAGATCGGATCTGTGCATTGAGCCTTTTAGTGTATAAGTAAATGCCGGCAAACATTGATTCATTCATATTGTTTGATTTCATGAAGCTAAAAAATCAGAGTCTGCTTGTTATACATGGCTTTTCTGTGAAACTGGTCAGCTGCAACGGCAAGTTGTGGCAACAAAGTCATGTAGTGTATTCCAGCCTTAATTGCACATTATTTCTTGAGAAATGTATTATATAATAAGTCACAATATGGATTTTGAGCTGTAATGAGTGTTGTTTGTGCGAGCTGGAAGGTTTGCAATAAGAGGATCCTCTTAGGTAAGTTTCAGCCATAGGCAGTATCCATCATCTAAAAGAAACTTGGGCTAATTCGTCGTCATGGCAACGATAAAAGCCTCTATAAATAGAAATGTCGCACAGGGGCTTGATTCAGGAGGAAGGAAATTACAGAATTACAGGTAGAGCAGAAAAGTCTCCTCAGAAAAAGTTTCCTTTGCTTTGCATTTTTGCGTTCTTTCTCTTTCTACAACCCCTCCAAAACACTTGGTCCTTCTCCCTCTGACGTTCGGTTAGCTCTCTAATCCTCCCTGAAACCCTCAGTGTCTGTGTTCGCCATGAATACTTGAGCACTAGTCTAATGAAGTGGTAAATTAATCATTGTCCTTGGCACCGGCAATCCCCCGTGCCCCTAGCCTAAATTCACAGTTACTCTCAGAAGAGCCTGATAGTGTTTTCCCTGACCAGTCCCATTACACACTGCTAAGAATTACAGCGGAGCCATCTGAAGGAGGTACCACAGGGATGAGCCGGTTTCATTTTTTTTTCACTACTTTATTTATTTGATGGTAAACCATTTTCTGGAAAGTCATTTTAAAGTTACTTCTGCCATATATATTTCATAGAGAAATGTATTTAAAAATCCAGATTCTGTCTGTGCATAAAGGCATTGCCATCTGCAGCGCCTTGTGCCGGAGGGAGTGAATATTTCAGAGTTGAATTTTAAGTGTCACACAAGAGTATCGGTGTGATTGGAAACTAGCGAGAGAGTATCAAGGGCACTCTGTTTCTCCCTCGCTCTGCCCGCTGGACATCTAAGACACAGTTTGACCGCATTTGTCTGACTGACTCGGGGGAATAATATTGATTCTCTGAGCATCAGTTGATCAGATCTGCATCTCATGGTAACTCCCCTCTTCTTGTGTCCTTTTGTCTTGCGCTGTTGATATTG